TGGTGGTCGGTCACAGTGTGGTGGTCGGTCAACGTGTGGTGGTCGGATTAGAATAACCCCACGGTAAGTCCTGCCTGTCGTATAAGGCGACTAAAAGGACGCCAATAGATGGAAGATGGTTAACGCCATCGCCCGGTGCGATACCACCACATCAACCATAGGCACTGTGAAATGGGTATACTTACCCGTGTTTCAGTAGCTGGTTGATGTTCCGGCCAACCCAACACAACCCAATTTCCTTTTCCTTCCACGCCAACCTCCCTTCTTTATTCAGAATACCCGATGATGAGTTCTCCTCAAGTAAAATTATACGGAAGTAAAATACCTCTCCATTCGGATTTCCGGGCGAGAGGTGCTAGAGGGGGTTCACCATCGGCTGAAAAAGTCCTCAAGATAGACCTATGTAACATCCGAGGTCTAAGTAAGAGCATCAACGATGTCCATTCAAGGGAGGTCTCTGCCTCTACTCTAAAACGAATCTCTCATGTCAACGAGAAAAAACTTTGGAACCAAATAAGTTTGATGTCATGTGGTTCAAACTCGATAGCCAGAAACAGACCAAATACCTTTGTTGTCTCTACTTATCACCAAATGATCCATCCTATGAAGAGCTCTTCGAATTCTTGTCTCTGAAGCTTGACCAAATTCAACAGAACCATCCAGCAGCAGAAATCATCATCATGGGCGATTTCAATGTACACAACACTGCTTGGCTCGTACACTCTAACAGAACGGATGAAGCAGGGCGACAAGCCGAAGCTTTCGCCATCACTCACGGCTTAGAGCAGCTTATCAAAGAACCCACACGAATTCCCGATGCCAATAACCATTCAGCTAACATACTTGACTTATTCCTCACTAATAATTCAGCACCCTACACCATAGATGTACGAGCTCCACTTGGCAATTCTGACCACACACTCATCTCCACAACCTGCCCATTTTTCATTCCATCAACTGCTCCTGCACCCCCACGTCTTATATGGCATTACAATTCAGGAGATTGGGACGGTCTCCGCATGTTTTTCTCCGAGTTTCCTTGGCATAGAGTATGCTTTGATTCTGAGGACCCTTCACAGTGTGCTGCGGAAATATCCGAGATCATCATGCTCGGAATGGACACATACATACCTCATTTTTCGAAAAGATCATCACCTTCGAAACCCTGGTTCAATAAAAACTGTTCTAGAACTGTTGCCTTGAAACAAACAGCCTACCATCGCTGGCGCAAAAACCCTAACCTCGCGACTAGAGCAGAATACGTTGATGCCAGGAACAACTGCAGCCAAACAATAGATGCTTCGAAAGAAACATACAATGCCAAGATAAGATCAAAACTCAATGGCTCCCGTTCGTTTTGGTCCCTTGCTAAAGCGGTCGGAAGAAATTTCACTAATAGTTCATTTCCACCACTATCCAAATCCGACGGCACATTAGCAAGAACATCGTAGGAGAAAGCAAATATTTTTGCAGAGATGTTCGCAGCAAACTCTACTTTAGATTCCCAAGGAAAACTGCCGCCAGACATTCCACCCGTTCCATCATGCTGGAAGACAGCTAGAGTCCAACCAATTCCCAAAAAAGGGAACAAGAACCTACCCAACAACTACAGGCCCATTGCCCTGTTATCAGTAATCTCCAAAGTGATGGACGCGTTGGACATATCGAAAGCATTCGACCGTGTTTGGCACGAAGGACTCCTCCACAAACTACCATCATACGGCTTACCACCTCAGCTATGCCATCTCTTATCGACTTTTCTTTCAGGCAGATCGCTTCACGTGGTGGTGGACGGGTGTCTCGTCTGATACCATTGGCATCAATTCCGGCGTTCCACAAGGATCAATTTTGGCACCAACATTATTCCTTCATATCAATGATCTGTTGGGAGTAACAACTTGCCCCATTCACAGCTTTGCAGATGATAGTACCCTCCATACTGCGTTCTCTTCCAGAATTCCCATTTCTTCCCAGGAAACTAAGAACTCACGGCGCAGGCAGGTCAATGCTGTCAATGAAGATCTTGCTGAAATCACAGCCTGGGGAACAAACAACCTAGTTGAATTCAACGCCACCAAAACTCAAGCCTGCATTTTCTCTAGAAAGGCGGAACTCAGTATGCCCGATATTGTAATGTCTGGCTCCACCATCCCGACCAAGCCCACCATATCTATGCTCGGTATTTCCATCAGCAACACTCTTTCATGGGATAATCATGTCAGATCCATCGCAAAAGCTGCTTCACAAAAACTCCGATTCTTGTTCCGTGCGAAAAGCTACTTTACACCTCGACAGCTTCTCATGATCTACAAAGCGCAGATACGGCCTGTTCTAGAATACTGTTCCCACATATGGGGTTCAGCACCAAAACATACGCTGATGCTCTTAGATTCCATCCAGAGAAGAGCCATTCGCCTAGTGGGTGACGCTACACTCACTCACTCTTTGACATCATTGGAACACCGTAGAAAGGTCGGCGACCTTTCACTTTTCTATCGATACTTCCACGGGAAATGTTCTTCGGAAATCTCTGCTATCATCCCTTCACTAGCAATACCAATCAGACGAACTAGACATTCCCAGTCAGCACATCCTTTCGTTGTCAACCTCGAAAGATGTCGAACAGCACTTTATCAAGACTCCTTCATCCATAGAACGGCTAGGCTCTGGAATTCATTGCCTGTGGAAGTATTCCCAACAACATATAATATAATCTCCAAAAGTTCAAAAAAAAATCCAATACCTACCTCCTGTCCCTATCCTCCCTAGGTACGCACGATGTTCTTTGAACATTATAGGGATTCTCTTTCGTGCGCTCCAAGCGATAAAAAAAAACTAAGGCCTCATACATGTCTCGAAAGGTAGGCAAATCTCTATTTCTCGCAAAACTCGATTAATTCGATTTTAGGGAGTCTAACATGAGGGTTTGCCGGAGATGAACCAGATATTAGAACAATTCAGCGTAAATAGGGTTAACGAAATAATATGATTCATTGAAGGTTTCCTTGATGTCGTCTGCATGTTGTGTCTGAAATTCGGTTTTTATTTTGTCGGCATTTACTGACCGTATTTTGAAAATTACTCTCTTAGATTTATCAGCTTTAGCGACATTAGCAGAATTTGTTAAAAACCGCGATTTCATTGATACAGCTAGTGCGAATCGCTTTGTAGCAGCGTAATTTTCCAGATTTATCGGCCATGTTGGGCATAAAAACTATCGAAATACGTTGAGGAGAAAGATGATTATTATCAGCTCCACCACTCCAAGCAAGAGACATGGTGGGGAGCTCAGCTCCGCCACTCCAAGCAAGCGATGCGCGGGCCGGTAAAAGGAAACGTAACTAAGATGGCGTTTTGAAACAATGTGAATGTATAATATTCGCAATTTCCCGGCCAAGACCTTGGGAGAAATAAATGGTCAGATTTGGACCAAATTTCCAAAATAATGTATGAAAAATGACCAGTTTCTTCTGAATCTTATTGTGAAATGAGCAACTCCTGGAATTTGAGTAACGAGTCAAAGAAATTTCAATTTTAAATTGTTTCTTGAAATTTTCGAAAGAGACTTTAGGGGCCTTATCCGGCTCGGAGGACCATAAATATGTGCGAAAAGCCCAACTCAAGAGAAAAATTGACTTTTTTCCAAGGGCGCGTAATGTACGAAATATAGACAATTGAGACGATAGGTTCAATTCAAATGCAATCCGAAGTATTGGAAACGGTTATAAACAATATCGAGCCCAGAAACAGCTTACCGAAATTCCTGGAAGTCTGGAAGCAGGCTGGTAGGATCGGGATGTTGATGTGCGTAGGGGGGGGGGGCTTCAATTCCCGATAGTTGGCTTAAGATGGCAATCCAACAAAGTAGACACCCACGAAGTGTAGAAAATGTCGGAACACTGATTTTAACTCAATATTGGGGTAAAATATAATACAGGAAGAGCGTCGCGAAAAGTTGATCATCAGGTGACAATCACCAGCGGAGTTGAGTACATACTGTCTTCGAAATTCATAGTTTTTAGGTAGGCAAGTTCTGCGACGCGACCTCCGATGATAAAAACAACATGTTTTTGTTCGTATTGATAGGCGAACTGTATTTGGGCAATAGCACGATTCATGAAAATATATTGAATTAGTTCAACAGATCGGTATTGCATTTTGAATTATTTTATTATGAAGAAGAATTAATAATTTAATAAGGAAAATCATATATGATTCCAGATTCAGTGAATACTCAACAGTCCGGTGTCACCGGAAATTGACTCAGGTCAAGAATTTTAAATGGAACCGTGTATATATCTTTACGCTATTCGATAGAGGAAAAAAATCCCTCTTCAGTGATATCAAGTGATATATCACAAGTGGACATGTTTTTGAAATGATTTTGTCTAAAATCAATATGGTGACACTGACGTCATCGATCGAAATTTTTTCAAGAAACCTGATGATATACACATTCTTATCAAGATGTAATCTGTTACAACCAGATGGTTAGTATTCTTGGAAGTATCAGTTCCAATGAACTCAAATTTAAACTATTCAACTACTTCAGTGCTAGGCTTATTACTTTTATTTTTTGAATTTTGGTATTAATTATTATTAATGTTGTAATATTAGACTGTCCGAATTGTGAATGTATTTCTTAAATTTGTGAAATTTTTTTGTCTTGCGCAGTCTGATTTCCCGTTTGACTAGTATGATTAGTTTCTGTACTACTTTGTGTAAAAACCATAATGATGAATACAATTATCTATCTATCTAGTTATGGGAAGCCACGTGTGCCCTTTACCAGCATTAATGATGCAAGTTATGGGAAGCCACGTGGTCCCTCTAAGAGCTTCAACGATGCATCCGACTCAGCAGATTTATTCAATGAAACCATCTCTTGAATAAAGTTCACCGTAGTTACATGGTGTATTTAAAAAATTCGCTTTCCGCTATGGAATTCAAAATTATCTATCTATCTATCTAAAATGTGAGTGTACGTCATAGCTGCTTACCTAACAATATGCACTTTTATGAGTGGCCCCAACAACACGTTATTAGCAACAATATACTCCTTCTTCAACAAAGTATCAAATACCCTGTTCAATTCATCAACTTGTCCCTTTTCAGCCATGCTATTCAAAAATCTCCAAATCAATGCATTATAAGCAAATATTCTTTCTTCCGGTATCTTGTCTCTTGGAGTATTTTCCAAAATTGTCACAGCTTCTTCCAACCTATCATTTTTGGCTAGAATATGTGCCAATCGGATGGTTTTCATGTCATCTAAGGCAAAATTGTCTTTTTCACATTCTTTAATTTTTCTATAATATTCAACAGCCTTTTCTACATTATCATGATAAGCATACAAGTCCAATAGTTGGGCATAAATACCACTGGTAAAGAGAAATTGGCTTTGTCGCATATCTTCAATCAGTTTCTCAGTTTTTTCCAGATCTTTCGCACGATAATAAAGAGTTAGAAGTTGTCGTTTCAATCCCTTTGTATCCTGATTTTTCAGTGTCAAATTCTCAATGAGCCTTTCAAGTTGTGATACATTCATTTGATGTGAAGGAACATATGATGGAGGTTTTCTTTGCAATGGAGTAGGTGTCAATTCTCCAGAAGTCAGTTTACCAAGTAAATCAGAAATTTCATCAGTCATCTTCTCACCAAGTTTTTCTTCTATTTTCTCAGCTGCTCTGCCTGAAATACTCAAACCATGGTTGACTAATTCCTCTAAAACTTCATTTATGGAATCCGCAAATTTTCTTTGGTTTGTTGCCAAATCAAGTACAAAACTTCCAACCAACTCAGATTTATCAGTTGTATCAGAAAATTCGTCAGCTTCTTGATCAGCTTCAGTAGATAGTGTTGATACTTTTCGATCGATGTTTTCATACACAGTTCTCAATATGGAAATATAGGACTTGATATCTCCAGTCTTGTAGAATGCGCTAGTCAAGGGTCTACGAATCAAATCTGGTTTATAATAAGCTTGCACCCTTGTTGCAATGGCTTCAGCTTCTCCAAGTTCATTCTTATATAACAGTGATACAACTAAACTTGAAGCTGCATTCCCCACTGAAATATTACCTTCCCTCAGCAACGCTAGTATTTCACTGCTATTTCCATTCAGATTAGGAATAACATATTCTCGTAAAGTTTCGCTGTTGGGTACTATGTGGTATTCTTGCATCTTTCTCAATACTGCTATGATTTCTTGTCCTGTAGGATCATCAGCTTTAGCAATGATCAAGGGCCAAAAGAAATGTTGCCTGATCTTGATTCCCCAATCCCTCAAGTTTTCCAAGAGTGGGTATACTAGATGTTCATTTCCGATCTGCAAACTGGTTTCTGTTGCTAATAAAAGAGGATTTTCATACATGCCCTCTTTCTCTATCTTAGCGCAGAATTCTAGAATTTTTTCTAATGGTCTATTAGCTCTAACCAGTTGTCTGATAAAAAAATTACCAGTTGGAACAGGTGTACCATCATCCCTAGTAGCACGTGGCATTGATTTCAAGATAAGAAATGCAGCATCTTCATATCCTTTGTTGATTAACCTCAAAATAACGTTGATGGCATCTTGGTTGTAGCCTACAGCTTTGCGTACTTTATTTAGGACAGCAGGAATATGACCAGTGTGTCCATTGATGGCGAGGGAAAATATGATATCAAGATAATCCTTATCAAGAAGAAATATTTCTTGTGTTTCACATTCTCCAATGATTTTCATCATAGTTTCAATATCTCCTTTATTTGCATAGCCGCAAAGAAGAGTAGTATAAGTATCAGCACTTGGCTCCAAACCAGCTTGGGTCATCACATTTATTATGCCTTGGGCCGAATCCATGTCACTAGAACATAAAATAATAAAAACATTGCATGAAGAATAAATTTAAGAATCTCGGAAAACAATTGACTGTAGTGTTACATATTCAAGTGGATGCATGGGTATCCCAAAAACCGTATGAGATACAGCAGATATTGAATTGGGGTAAAGTGGTGAAAGGTTAAGAGAGGTAGTTCGATTATTTCCGATATCTCAGAAAAAATAAGCATTTTTTCTTGAAAATAAGTCGATTCCTATAAAAATGATATTGCATAATGTCATTTTTATTTTGGGCACTCCTATTTGACAAACAGTACGTCAAAGTTCGAATTTTTCTTCATTTGTTCTTAAACGTCAAAGACAACCATAGAATAGTAACTAAAACTGTTTCATTGCCAGCAATTGGCAAATTATCAAGAAAATGAGAATCAAGTAGCCGCTGGCACACTTGTTTCTCAGTAACTGTGATACTGATTTTCCAACTATTTTTGTGGTAATTTTTGATTTTGATTATTATTATATTGTACATGATTTGAACAATATTGGCCCGTAAGTCAACCAATCAAGGAATAATCAAAAATGGCATTAGAAGAGCTTTTTTTTTCAAGAAGCATATGGTTCATTTGTTCTTAAACGTCAAAGACAACCATAGAATAGTAACTAAAACTGTTTCATTGCCAGCAATTGGCAAATTATCAAGAAAATGAGAATCAAGTAGCCGCTGGCACACTTGTTTCTCAGTAACTGTGATACTGATTTTCCAACTATTTTTGTGGTAATTTTTGATTTTGATTATTATTATATTGTACATGATTTGAACAATATTGGCCCGTAAGTCAAAAATGGCATTAGAAGAGCTTTTTTTTTCAAGAAGCATATGGTTAACGGAATGATAATATAAACATCCTTATCACAGATGCCCTATACACTGTGTCCAAGATAAGGATGCCAGTATGGGTATCTTGGAAACTACAAGATATACAGATTTTATTGAATGGGATGAAAGTTGCCCAATTGAAGGAACAATAAGATTACTTTTAAAATATTTTGGTTGATTTTTCGTTTTTCAGTTAGTTTTAAAAAACTCAACTTTTGGAAATTTGATTTCTCTTTTCTGGCGTTGATAATGAAGTTGTGACTAAACTGAACAAACATTTTTATGGCAACTTTTGATATTTAACATTATCGATTTTCTGATTCAACGTTTCGGATTTTCTGGTTTTGATGCGTTAGGAGCGTATTTTAGCCATCATCAAGTAATTTTTGGAATGCGTAACTAATTTTTTTATGATCATGAGCGAATAACTTTGCTGTTGATTCCATCAATACCAGCTGATGGTTTATTAGTGGTTTTATTCATTATATCTTCGATCTCATACGGCGTTATTGGAGTAATAAATAGTGTGTGCTCATTTATGGGTGACATTGTTAATCTATGGCCTGGCTTGATATTCGTTGAATTGACGAAAAAGTCACTCAGCATATTGCATAACTTATTCTTGTCAGTTATTGTCTCGTTATTAACAACTAACTGATTTATTGTGTGTCTGTTAGTCATTCCTCTTTTTTCATTGATTATTTTCCAGCTTTCTTTCGTTATGTTCGAAGAATTCTCTACTCTGGCGTTAATAAATGTATACTTTGCTTGTTTCACTCTCCATTCATAAATATTTTTCAGCTATGTATCAATTATACTTAGTAAATTGATCGTTAAATGCAAGGAAGCATTGAAAATTGAAAACTTGAAAACCTACCTCTGGACAGATTCAACTATCGTCTTATATTGGATAGCCAGCGAACCTAAAGACTTGAGAACCTTGTTAGCAAATCGGGTCGCGAAAATATAAAATAACACTCAAATTCAAAATTTGAATTATATTGCGACTGAGCTGAATCCAGACGATATTGTTTCACGCGGTATGTCTTCAAAGGATTTGATCAACTCCGATTTGTTGTTACACGGACCTAGGTTTTTCATTGATCAACATGAGTGGCCTCAAAATGCAAATATGTCACTTTGCTAAGCGGAAACTCAATGAAATTCCAGAAAGTCGTACCCTTATTGCAGAAAACGAAGAAAATGTCATCGTTAGCATTTTTGAAAGGTACCCAAGTTTTACAAAATTGATTCGTGTTGTAGCTTATTTCTTGAGATTTCTTCAGATTCCAAGGGTAGAAATCCAGCAACGCGAGACAGATAAATTAACAATCGCGGAATTAGAAAACACTGAATTGGTTCTTGCAAAACTAGCTCAAAAGGAACATTTTTCTTCCGAAATTCGTAGATTGGAAAAGAAAAAATGTGTTCATCATGAAAGTAAATTAAAATCTTATTCTCCTTTTCTCGATGATCAAGGGATTATTACATAAGAAGGCAGAATAAAAAACGCAATGTATAGTTTTGATGTTGAGCATCCATAAGTGCTACATCCCAAACATATTTATACAAAATTAGTAATAGATTTTCATCACAAACGTACCCTTCATTCAGGAATTCAATGCACTTTATCTCATGTTAGACAAAAATATTGGTCGATTCTTGGCAAACAGACAGTAAGAAGTCAAAATCACAAATGTATATAATGTTTTAGGCAAATCCCTATCAAGTCATCCATCCAAAAATGGGAGACCTACCCAAGGCTCGTTTAACACCATCACGTCCGTTTCTTTCAAGTGTAGTCGATTATGCGGGACCTTCTGAGTTGAAGCCTATTAAACTTAGAACAAATAAATTAATCAAGGGTTAAATTTGTATATTCGTCTGTATGGTAACGAAGGCGGTTCATATGGAACTAATTACAGATTTAACCAGTGATGGCTTCTTGAGCCTACTTAAGAGATTCGTGTCAAGACGAGGCTTTTGTACAGACATCTACTCAGACAACGCATCTAATTTTGTAGGCAGCAAAATCTGATTGAAACAAGCGGGTTCCAAAGTTATTTGACTCATTCAAAGGTTAAATGACACTTCATTCCAGCGCGATTACCTCATTTCGGTGGTTTACATGAGGCAGCTGTAAAATCGTGCAAACACCACTTGAAACGTGTAATGAATAATATACATTTGCATTACGAGGAATTCTACACTTTAATCACGCAAATTGAGGCAATCTTAAATTCGAGACCGTTAGTACCGATTTCATCCGATCCCAACGACCTTGAGCCCATAACACCAGCTCACTTCTCAATTGGCGAACAATTAACTGCAGTACCAGAAAGAGATTTAATGGAATCTAAAGTGACATTCGCAATACGCTACCAGCATCTTCAGCAAATCGGACAACACTTCTGGAGTCGATGGCGAAAGGAGTATGTGACTCAGCTTCAATAGAGAAATAAATGGCAGTTTGACATGGATGACAAATTCCATGTTGGTTCCATGGTGCTTCTAAAGGAAGACAATGTTCCTCCAATGTGTTGGCTATTAGGACGTGTTGTGGCGGTGCATCCCGGCAAAGAAAATGTAACTTCAGTAGTCAGCATTAAAACTAAAAGCTCAATAGTGAAACGTGCAGTTAATCGAGTGGCATTATTACCTGAAGACCAAGCGAAATAATTGAATAGAACTTTATTAACGGCTATTTCTCATTTGATTTGGTTGAATTATTAATTTATTATTATGTTCTGTTTAATGTTATCAAATATTGAAAGTCAAAGCCTAGCCTTTCATGGGGGCGATTATGTTAAGTATTAGAACAATCTCTGTAGATTATATGATTTAGAATAAGTCTTGCAACAGTGCCTGGCGCGATAAGGCAAACCGCGTCCCTAGCGACAGCGTTCGTGAGGTATTCGACTGAGATAATTCTAACGATCAACACTGTTATTTACGGAAACTACTGTTGCTTTCCTATGTTGTTTCTTACATTTTATAAATATGTCTCTGCAACGAAATAGCGCGTAACAAAACAGCGCGTGACAAATCAGCGCGAACAAAACAGCGCGTTACAAAACAGGGCTGTACAAAATAGCGCGTTACTCATACTCATACTCATACTCATAATTTATTGGTGCTAATACACAAAAAGCGTTTACACAAGTCAAGATTACAAATTGAAAATTTCATACAAGAAAATACTTATAGATATTCAGAAACAACAGTTGAATATAAAATTCAAATTAAGACCTGGTACATCAAGTGACAATACAATACAAGTTAAAATATTAAGTAAAAAAAAGGTTTTGAGGATTTAGCAACATAAAAACAGTTAGTTCCAAGTAAAATTGAGAAATTCTTCTTTGTCGTAGAAGGGATTCCTAAGCAATACTTCGTGTACCGTTCCCCTAAACATTTTATCAGGAAGTGCTCTCACACTTTCTGGTAATTTATTGAAAAATTTCACAGCCCAATAATTTGTTCCACTCCGACACCTTTCCAGCCTCCACAAAGGTACCGAGAGCTGCTCCCTGCCTCGAGTGCCGTGCTGATGCATTTCGCCAGCCTCCGAGTACCGGTCTAAGTTGCATTTGATGTATAAAAGGTTTTCAAATATGTACATATTTGGAAATGTTAATATTTTATTATCAATGAAAGCATCTCTGCAATCATCCTGATACCCAAGGCAGCTCAAAATCCGCACGGCTCTGCGCTGCAAGGAGAACACTCTGCGCCACTGTGGGGCATGGCCCCAAGCAACAATGGCATAGGACACCAGTGAGTGAAATAACGCAAAGTATGCAGTTCGCAACACCCCATCTGAAACTATGCCTGATAAATTTCGCAACACAAAAATGCCACTTTTTAAACGCTTTGAAAGAGACTCTATATGGGTGTCCCACCGAAGACCAGTGTCAAGATGCACCCCCAAGAATTTTGTTGCCTCACGGGAGAGTGTGTAGTCCGTAGGTACTTCTCTCAAGGAGAATATCATACGGCTCGTCTTCGAGTTGTTCAGTATAAGACTATTGTTCCGAAACCAGTTTTCAGCCCTCGACTGCGCCCCACAGACCTCATCCATTAAACTTGCCAAGTCAGAATCCCTAACGGAAATTGTGGTGTCATCAGCGAACAGGACATATCGTTCT